CATGATCTTACCAACACACGTCCATGGTCTTACAACACATGTCCATGATCTTACCAACACACGTCCATGTTTCTATCAACACGCGTCCTCCTTCTTACCAACACACGTCCATGATCTTACCAACACTCGTCCTTCTTCTTACCAACACACGCCCATGATCTTACCAACACACGTCCATGTTTCTATCAACACACGTCCTTCTTCTTACCAACACACGTCCATGATCTTACCAACACACGCCCATGATCTTACCAACACACGTCCATGTTTCTATCAACACACGTCCTTCTTCTTACCAACACACGTCCATGTTCTTACCAACACACGTCCATGTTTCTACCAACACACATCCTTCTTCTTACCAACACACATCCTTCTTCTTACCAACACACATCCTTCTTCTTACCAACACACATCCTTCTTCTTACCAACCCACGTCCTTCTTCTTACCAACACACGTCCTTCTTCTTACCAACACACATCCATGTTCTTACCAACACACGTCCATGTTAGAATTACCTCAGAAAAGACACAAGTTTGTCCACAGTAAGTGAAAGATAGCTTGACCTTTTGGGGTTTCCCTGCCGTGTTCTCACTGGAACCATTTGTGTTGTAGGATAAAGACACTGAGCTGTGTGCCGTTAATCTGAAGCTGGACCAGCTGGAAGCAGAACTGCAGGATCTCAACTCCCAGGAATCCAAGGACGAGGCCTCCCTTGCTAAGGTTTGTCATTCAGCATTTCATTGAACTTGTTTCCTGCTTTTCAGACGACTGGCCTCATGTTTAAAATATCTGCATGTGTGTGTTCAGATAAAGAAGCAGCTTCGTGATATGGAAGCCAAGGTTAAGGACCAGGAGGAAGAGTTGGATGAGCAGGCTGGCACCATCCAGATGTTGGAGCAGGTACTAACACAGTTCCTAAAGGAACTGCTCACTTGATCCCAGTTGATGGAAGATGTCAAAGTAAAACTGGTCAGCAGAGCAATATAGTTAGTTATAATATAGTTAATATAGTTAGTTATCACACTTACTGAATTGTTTTGTCATTGAAAAGAATGAACACAAAGATTTGGCTTGTTGAGACCTTTCCTTTGATTGATTTAAAAAAATCTGACGGTGGGTCAGTGTTTAGCTCTGCTTTCTGGGTGGCAAAGTGGTTGATTGTCTCAGATCATTTATTTACGTATTGTGTTTTGTTTTAGGGAGTAATCCTGTTCTATTTGTGCCCGTCTCTTTTCTAAAGATGCTGTAGCAATAAACTGCAACATAAATAGAGCCTTGCAAAAGTATCCATCCTTCTTGGTAATCTTTTTATTTTTTGCCTCACAACCTGAAATTTAAATAGATTTTTAATTTATTTAAAAGCAATAATTCTCCAAAAATACGCCAGATGAATAGAGTTAACAGCTCTAAATTGGTTTAAATCATATCTTATCTGATAGATTCCAATTTGTAAATGTAAATAATGAATCTTCATCATACACCAAAAGTTAGTCATGGAGTTCCTCAGGGTTCAGTGTTTGGACCAATGCTCTTTACCTTGTACATGTTTCCATTAGGTAATGTTATTAAACAGCATGGGATAAATTTTCATTGTTATGCTGATGATACACAGTTATATTTGTCCATTAAACCCAATGAATTCAATCAACTACTTAGACTACAAGCATGTCTTAAAGACATAAAAACCTGGATGACCCTAAATGTTCTCCTTTTAAACTCAGACTAGATTAAGGTTTTGGTTTTTGGACCTGAGCACCAAAACTCACTGAGTGACCTGTTGCCTTTGTGCTTGCTCAGGACGGGAGATTGTGACGACGTGAAGATTCAACTAATCTGCAGCTTCCTCAGATAGAAATCTTTTGTTAATTGTCTTTTATAATGTTTCAGAATGTTTCTGTTCAGTGCCCTGAGATGACTTCTGTTGTGACTTGGACTTATATAAATAAACTGAACTGAATTGAATTGCGTTATATATTCAGCTCCTTAAGCTCCAAACATTACCCACAGAAGTTACTTTATTCAATAAAAGCCACCTGGCTGTAAGTAAGCTTAGTGCCAGGTGATCTCAGTATACATTCACCTGTTCTGACAGCTTCCATAATAGACACCTGTGCAGCACCTCTGAAGGCTCTGCATCATCTGCAAGAACAGTCTTTGTTTTATTTCCCTGGGTTACGAGAAAACAATGACGTCATGTTTTTCTTGCAGCCCTTGTTGAGGAACTCTTGTAGCTTGTTCTCAACAAATCATCTGGGAAGAACTTGTTTTCTCGTGTGTTACCCAACAACTACTGTGGGATTGACGAGGCGGGGCGCCCTCCTTGTACAACAGTAGGGGAAACATTGTGATGAATATGAAGTGGATTTTTAAATCCATAATACACATAAATACACATACAGTCATATAGAACTAACACGAGGAGATGTATTTCCAAAAATCACTGGAAATTTTTTTATTGAGATCTAAAAAAAAAAAAAAGATTTTTAAGCATCTTACTAAGAATTGAATGTTATGTTGAATGAAACACCTTTTGATGAATTTTATTAAAATGTATGAACATGCCAGAAAAGGTAATTTTTCCATTAAATAATCAAAGACACTTTTTTCAGCACTGATTTTTACTTTTGTTTTGACCGATATTTATTTTTTGTTAAATAACAATAACAACAATAACTGCTCAGTTTAAATATGTAGCAACTCTTAGTAGAACCTGTCCACTTAGACAAGGAGAGGGACATTTGTCTCTGCAGGAGTATCAGAACGTTACAGGATGTTCAGGGTGGAGGTGAGCGCGTTGCTGTAAGGCCTGTTTCATGTGCGTTTCAGGCCAAGCTGCGCCTGGAGATGGAGACGGAGCGTCTGCGTCAGAGTCATTCCAAAGAGATTGAGAGCAAAGACGACGAAGTGGAGGAGATCAGACAGTCCTGCAGTAAGAAGGTGGAGCGCTGCACCCTTCTCTTCCTGTTTGACTCCGTTTCATGTGAAACTGAAGTTTAGACATTGTTGCAGTCCAAACATCGTTTTGTGTTGCTCAAACCAAACTTCTTGCTGATTAGACCACCTGTGTCCTGGTCAACCGGCACTGACTCAAATCAGAATTTTTTCACTTGACACCCCAATATTTGCTGTGAATCACAGAAAGAGCCTCACCAGTCTCACTTTTATCTGAGCTGCACTCACACGTTTGTCAAGTCAGATTTTCATTGGGGACGGCACGGTGGATCAGTGTCTTGTCAATGAGGAGGTTGCTGGATCAAATCCCAGCCAGGAGCCTTTCTGGGTGGTTGTCTCTATGTGGCCCTGTAATGAACTGGAGACCTGTCCAGGTGTCCCTGTGATGGACTAGAGACCTGTCCACGTGTCCCCCCCCCCATTGCACAGTGATAGCTGGACATGGGCACCAGTGACCTGAAAAGGAAGGAGCGTTTAAAGATGATGGATGGATATTTTCATTCAGGAGCATCTTCTTCTTCTTTTGGCTTTTCCCTCTTCAGGGTCTCCACAGCGAGTCCCCCTCCTCCATCTCACTCTGTCCTCTGCATCATGTTATCTGTTGGAGCTTGGTGCATGGTTAGTAGATGACTCTTAGCTACTACCACCCCAAATTTGAGCTCAGTATCTGTGAAACTCGGTGAGGCTGTAGATGTACATCAAACGATGACTTTCATAGTTTTGGTGAAATCCACACAGTGATGTGAGATACGTTGCCAACAAACATGAAAATGACTGATTTGTGTTTGTTTGTAGCTGAAGCAGATGGAGGTCCAGCTTGAAGAAGAGTACGATGAGAAGCAGAAGGTTCTGAAGGAGAAGCGAGAGTTGGAGTCCAATCTGCTGTCAGCACAGAGTCAGGTGAGAGAAACTCTGGGAGCTCAGCGAGCTGCGTCAGAAGGTCCGGTTCAAACACCGGACAGTTTCATCTGCTTCAGTGTGTGCACTTTATTTCTTTCTGAAGACACCGTTGTTTCTCGCTAACGTGGAAAGGACTCGTGTTTGTAATGTTCTTGCTCTAAATTTGATGATGATTTATTTTTTCTTCACTTGACCAGAGAGCTCCAGAGAACATCAGTAGAGATAATTATTTCATCAACAACAAAATAAGACCTGATTTTCTTTGAAAGCGTAAAAGCTTAGAAGCTCTGTGCTTCAAGGTGGACATGAA